ATACGCATTATATATATATATATATATATATATATATATATATATATATACTGTATAGTATATATATATATATATACACTGTGTTTAGGAGTGCGTTTTGATCAAATCCACTTAAAAAATGTGCAGTTATCAGATAAGAGGATAAACTGTTCATTCCTTAGGGTTTGCAATGGATAAAATAATACATTTCGACATTATAATGGGTGACTGGCTCTGTGCAAGTTCTCTACGGGTGGAAACGAGGGAAGCTGGACTTACCTGGGAACTGGTATGTGTATCCTGGTGTGATTCCTGTGTATCCACGAGTGGCGTAAGTGGCCGTCTGGAACCCTGGGTAACCTGAAAATGAACAGAGAAAGCACAGTGTTTAAGGCAAGGCCAGATTATTTGGTAACACTTTCCAATAAGGTCTCATTTGTTAACATCAGTTAGTGCTTTAACATGAACTAATAATGAGCATTTTTACAGCAGTCATTAACCTTTTTTAATGTTAGTTAATAAAATGGTTTGTTTATGTTCACAGTGCATTAACTAATGTTAACAACTTTTCATTTTAATAATGTATTAGTAAATGTTGAGATTAACATGAACTATGATTAGTAAATATTTTAGAAGTATTTTTCATTTTTAGTTCATGTTAACTAAGGTTTACAAAGTTATACCAATTATTTATACAGCACATATCATATAAAATGATAACTGAAAGCAATAATTCATAATATAATATTTTTACTAACTCACAATTAATGATTGCACTAAATCACAATTGAATGCACCTTCATAAATTAATTTTAACTTACTTATAAATTTAAATATTATTTATTTTATGTCATTATTTTTCATTATTATTGCATTTGCCTTAGTGACAGCTAAATTATTAATTGTGAATATAAATGAAATAAAAACAGCCATTTTAACTGTTATGTGGGTTATTTGATGTATTTTGCCATTGTTTTCTTGCAAAACTTTTTTGTTTTCAACTCTGATTTGTGTCAAACTCACAAACGCGCAGACACAAGTGCAGTTTCCTGTTGTAAACAGCAGGCAGCGCCAGACTGATGCTGGATTTGCTCACATGGATGAGTTCACTGAGATTATTTGCCTTTTCCTTCTTTTAACTCACCCAGCATGCCGATACCCAGCATGAAGGCGTCCATGCCGTAGGGCATCACCCTGGAGCGGCCTCGCGCCGTACCTGTCGGTGACATCACTTCCTTCGGCTGTGCCTTTTTGCACTCCACCTTCAAAATCATAAACGAGTTCTCTTTAATATCAAGTTATTCTAGTTAATTCTAGACACCTTTCGAGACTTGTTTAAACACAAAATTGTGTTTTCTTGCAAAACTTTTTTGTTTTCAACTCTGATTTGTGTCAAACTCACAAACGCGCAGACACAAGTGCAGTTTCCTGTTGTAAACAGCAGGCAGCGCCAGACTGACGCTGGATTTGCTCACATGGATGAGTTCACTGAGATTATTTGCCTTTTCCTTCTTTTAACTCACCCAGCATGCCGATACCCAGCATGAAGGCGTCCATGCCGTAGGGCATCACCCTGGAGCGGCCTCGCGCCGTACCTGTCGGTGACATCACTTCCTTCGGCTGTGCCTTTTTGCACTCCACCTTCAAAATCATAAACGAGTTCTCTTTAATATCAAGTTATTATAGTTAATTCTAGACACCTTTCGAGACTTGTTTAAACAAAATTAGGAGAAGCATCTGAGACAAAATTGACATTGAAATTTAAATGAAATACAATTCCATTTTCCATTAGAGAATTTATTCCATCTTTTATTTTATTTTTAATTCTTGAAAGGAGTTTTAGAAGAAACATCTGAGATGAAGGTGATATTGAAGAATAAGTACAAATGAAAAGTCAATTATATTATCCTGAGTTATGAATGAGGAACTTTTGAGACCAGATTTGTTTTGTTTTTTATGGATCTTTTTTTCTTCACTTTTTATTTCTTCAAATGAATTTTACATTTGAGAGAAAGTTGACACTTTAAATGACTAAGAACTGAGAAACTCAATAAAGTCCATGGAGGTCTGAATCAGCAACATTTGAGCAGTAAAATATTCCTCAAGTAAAGAAACAAGAGAAATCACTAATGAAATCTCTTTAATATCTCATCAAGTTATTGTAGTAATTTCTAGACACCAATCAAGAATTTTGTCAAGCATCTGCGACAAAGTTGAAACTTGAAATATAATTATATAAAAGAGTCATTTTTGAGCAATTAAAATTTCCTTTAGTAAGAGAATGCATATTTTTTTGATAATCCAGTGATTTAAATACTTTATGTACACGTAACATTGCCATAATAAATTTGATATATAATGCATATTTTTGGATAACCTAGTAATTTAAATTTCCAAATTTCAAACTTTTATTTATTTTAAATTGTTTTACATCTATATATAGACGTTGTACACGTAACATTGCCATAATAAATTTGATATATAATGCATATTTTTGGATAACCTAGTAATTTAAATTTCCACATTTCAAACTTTTATTTATTTTAAATTGTTTTACATCTATATATAGAAGTACAGATAGATAGATAGATGATAGATAGATAGATAGATGATAGATAGATAGATATATAATGCATATTTTTGGATAACCTAGTAATTAATTTTACCTTGTATCAATCTTTTATTTTTTTAAATTTGTTTTACATCTATATATAGACGTACAGATAGATAGATAGATAGATAGATGATAGATAGATAGATAGATAGATAGATAGATAGATTTTTGTGTGACATTCTCCAAATGAGTTTTAGGAGAAACATTTGAGACGTATCATGAACGTATTAAAAAGGTGTTTTAAACACGCAGTCACACACACACACACACACACACATACAGACAGTGTTTCATAGCAGGACACACTCTCACCATCTTGTTGTTGATCTCATGAAAGTGGATCTCGCAGACCTTTTCCACCACGTCTTCATTCTCAAATGTCACAAAGCCAAAACCTGCAGAGCAAGGACACACATGCACTCTTTACCAATCACAAACATAGCATTGCTTTCAAACACTGAATCTAGTGTGTTTATCTTGTCCAGTTGCGTCCGATTCGATCCTGGCGTGACCTTTCCCTCTTTTACTTTCTCATTCTCTGTACTCTCTTTTGTTCTGTTTCCATCTGTTCATATATTCAGTCCATTCTGTCAGGAGGTTAGCTCCTCACCTGCTGCATTTACCTGTCCTACTCGACCCCGCCCACTCATCTGTCACTCACTACAGGCTCCGCCCACCGGCTGTCAGTCAGACTTTCCTTGCCAAAGAGAATGACGGTTTAACCTCTGAACTACTAACCAGCTCAGCAGCACCAAACCCATATTACCCTGCATGAACTTTTTAGCAATGCCTCTAAATAGAGAGGAGACTGACGAGAAGAGAAGATCTCTAATATCTCATCAAGTTATTAAAAAGCAACCTTTGAGCAATTATTTTTTCTTCATAAATCTGGTTGATCTTTTTTTTTTCTCCAAATGAAAGTTGATGCTTAACTGAAGTATAAACGAGAACTCAAGTATTATAAAATATTCCTCAAGTATAAGAGAAATCCCAAATGAGTTATTCTATTATATTCCTATATTCTATAAAATAACATATACTATTATATTATATATACTTATTCTTTACTATATTATTTCTAGACACATATTGAGACTTGTGTCAAGGGCACGTTTAGGAGAAGTTGATATATATTAAATGAAATATAACTCCATTAAAGGGGTCATATGATGCTGCTAAAAAGAACATTATTTTGTGTATTTGGTGTAATGAAATGTGTTTATGCGGTTTAAAGTTAAAAAAACACATTATTTTCCACATACTGTACATTTTAGTCTTTGCAACTTTACAGATCTTCTTTATGCACCAAGAGCTTGTAACACTCCAAAGAGAAAGGAAAAAATGAAATCGCATCATATGACCCCTTTAAGTCTTCTGAACTATGAGCCATGAACGATCAACCTTTGAGCAGAAAATGTGTTCTTTAATTCTCAAATAGAAAAGATAGTGAGGTTAATAGTTCATACTGAACTTTTGAGCAGTCAAATATTCCTCAATTTATTCTAGTTATGTCTAGACATCAATTCCATCAAATACATTAATTCATTAATTAAGAGAGGTTTCTGAGACAAAGCCGACACTTAAAATATAAATAAAAAATGAATATAACTCCATTAAGGTTCCTGAACTATGATACTGAGGCATAAGTATAAATGAGAACTCCATTATAAGTTATGAATTAGCAACTTTTTTGAAGTAAAATATTTCTCAAGTATGTTTAAGATCCCTTCATTCTAGTATTTCTAGACATCAATCAAGATATCAAATATCAACGTTGATATTGAAATATAAAATAACGACATTGTCTCCTTAACTATGAGCTATGAAAGAGAAACCTTTGAGAAATTAAATTTGACTTTAGAGAATTTACTCCATCTTTTATGTATCAGTTTATATCTTTTATATCATATATTTGAGACAAAATTGATACTGAAGCATAAGTATAAATAAATGAGAATGCCAATATGAATGTGCAACTTTTGTGCAATAAAATATTCCTGCATCTGAGGCAAAGCTGATATTAAAATATAAAGGAAATATAACTCCATTAAGTCTCCTAAACTATGAGTTATGAAAGAAACAATCTTTCAGCAATTAAATTATTTGACTTTAGTAAGGGAATTGTTTCCATCTTTTATTTATTTTATATATGATTTGATTTATTTATTTTATATTATATATGGATTTTTGTTTCAGTTCTTCAAGTGTTTTAGGAGAAACATCTGAGACGAAGTTGATACTAAAGCATACTAAAGCTTATGTCTCCTGAGTTATGAATGAGCAACGTTTGAGCAGTAAAATATTCCTCAAGTTCAAGAAGAGACGAGACGAGACTAGCATCAGCTCCTGAATGACTGCAGAAGCATGTAGACACTTGACTGCTGTTGTATAATTATATGACTCAACGAGGCTTTGAATGCAAGCGTGTGTATTTGCATGAGTGCGCGCCCGAATGCCGCCTTACCTCGGTGCCTGTTGGTGGTTTTGTCAAACATTAGCATCGCGTCATCAACCTGCAGACAAAACACACACACACACAAAAGAGAGGGATGAGACACTAAGCCATTACCCAGCATGAGGCTCTATTGTGAGGCTCTGGAGAAACAGAGAGGAGCAGCAGATGGAGGGGCCGAGCGGGGAGGGGGAACAGAGAGAGAGAGAGAGAGAGAGATGGATGAGAGAAACAGAAGAAAGAGAATATGGATGGAAGCGAGAGAAAGGAGCTGAAATAAAAGAAGAGAAAGCGATGGCTGCGAACACTTTGAAGCACCTCAGCTTCAGCAAACAACTTTCTTTGTTCTTGATGTTTCATAAGATGATCACAACTGGTTTAGCTTTAAGACCCATCAAATGGCAAGTTAAAAGATATAAATAAAAGTTCCTTCTGGAACTTCAAAAAGCGTAATCGTGCTTGATTTAAACGCTTGATTTATTTTCACATACATTTTTAATGCTGAAGGAAACGATATTCCAGATCATTTTGTCCAAGTAACTTCCATGATTTCTGTGATTATATAGGATTTTTAAAAATAATTTTACAGGGATATATATACATAAAAATATATCAGACAAATGTATAATGATTATAGAAATTTAAAAAAAAAACAGAAATATTTTATATCTAAATATTTTAGAGTGGAATATAACTAGAAATGATTATTGACTAAAAATGTCCATGACTTTTCCAGGTCTTAAAATTCTCTGATATCCTGTTGTACATGATTATATAATAATACTTTTTAATTTATTTTTTTATTTTTTTTATTTTTATTTTTTTTTACAAATTTTATAGAAATTCACACATAAGAAATAAATCAAGCTGATGAAATATTTTAGAGCAAAATATAACTAGACAATTTTATATTGACTATAAAAATTTCCACAACTTTTCCAGATCTTAAAATTCCCTGATATCCTGTTGTGTGTGATTACATGATGAGGATTTAAAAATAATAATAATAATAATAATAATTTTACAGTGATTCACACACAAGAAGCAATTGAAGCTGATAACATACTTTTGTCCATGACTTTTCCAGGTCTTAAAATTCTCTGATATCCTGTTGTACATGATTATATAATAATACTTTTTAATTTATTTTTTTATTTTTTTTATTTTTATTTTTTTTTACAAATTTTATAGAAATTCACACATAAGAAATAAATCAAGCTGATGAAATATTTTAGAGCAAAATATAACTAGACAATTTTATATTGACTATAAAAATTTCCACAACTTTTCCAGATCTTAAAATTCCCTGATATCCTGTTGTGTGTGATTACATGATGAGGATTTAAAAATAATAATAATAATAATAATTTTACAGTGATTCACACACAAGAAGCAATTGAAGCTGATAAAATACTTTAGAGTGAAATATACCTAGACCAATTTTTTTTTTTACTTCAAAAACTTTAATGACTCTTAAAATTCTATGATATCCTGTTGTGTAATAATAATAACAACAACAAATTTACAGTGATTTACACACAGGAAGCATTTCAAGCTGATAAAATATTTTAGAGCAAAGTAAAAATTTTCACTATTATTATTATTTTTCCAGATCTTAAAATGAACTCATATCCTGTTGTACGTGATTATATGATAGGAACTTAAAAATATATATAGAAATTCACACATGAGAAATAAATCAAGCTGATGAAATATTTTAGAGCAAAGACTATTTTATATTGACTATAAAAATTTCCACAACTTTTCCAGATCTTAAAATTCCCTGATATCCTGTTGTGTGTGATTACATGGCAAGCTTTTAAAAATATTTTTTTAGTGGTTAACACACAATAAACAATTCAAACTCATAAAATAATTTAGAGAGAAATAAACTAAAAATATATATGTTTAAATTATTTTACATATTGCACAAACAAAAAGCAATTCAAACAAATAAAATATTTTAGAGGAAAGCATAACCAGGAAAATTTATTTTTGCTATATAACTTACTTTTCCTTCAAATTCCCTGACATTTCTATAGGTTTTCCATGAATGTAATAACCCTGGAAATTGTTTGTGGAGAATACAACAGAGAAAGCAGCCCAGAAATAAAAAACGGAGGTGCAAACACATATCCCTCTCTCTCATTAAACGGACGTCCATGTCCACGAACATCTCTCATTCCGATCCCCTCCCGCCTCAGAGTTTGTGGGGGGAAATCTTTTCAATAACTCTCTCTGTCCTGTTCCCCCTTTCTCTTCAAACCCTCTCCAAAGTTTACTATTCCCATGGAGACTCTGCAAAGAATTTCAATTAGAAGAATTGACCCCCTCCCTCGCTTCTCCTTTCATGAACAGAACAGAGAGAGAGAGAGACGAGGAAATATAATATTATATGTATATATTTACAACAATATATGTAAATAATAAATGTGTGTATGTGTGTGTGTGTGTATATATTATATATATACATATATATATATATATAGCTGTCAAAAATGGAAATAAAATAATTAATAAAATAATTTAAAGTTTAAATAATAAAATAATATTAATACAAATATAAATAATAAAATGTAAATAAATAAATAATAACAAATAATTTAAAAATAAAAAGCCTAACACCACACTCACTTTAACTGTGGTAAAATCTTTGCTTTTGCTCACCACAGAGCGACAGCGAGCTGATAATGAGCGTGTGAATCTGTTCGCGGTTCTGTCCGCTTTCAACCGTTTGATGAAACTCAACACAACCTGTAACACGAGCATCGTGAAGCAACTGTTAACCGTCTCTTCTCCAGACCTGAGGCCTCATTATTCAGCGAGCGATGGCCTTCTCTTCAGGATTATACTGTCACTTCTGTCTGCGAGAGAGCTGTCGGCAGGACGGCACCAGTCGAAGCGCTCCAGGGTCACGTGGCCGGGTAGCGCTTTTCAGTGCCACCTGGTTAAATGACCATGGGAAAGGTCAAACACTCTTAGCCCGGATGAGCCGCTGTCAAACACACACTCTTAGACTCTGACATTTAACTATAACCCTCTTCTGCCCCCCTCCTATTCAAACCTTCATTGAGTCAATCACACACACACACACACACACAC